GCAAGCTAAGTTGAAAATTTATGACTATAACCACGTAGTATGAAGGATTATAATGAATCTTTTTCGATTACTATGTATAGCTAAAAATATCACGATGTGTTGTTTTGGTATCCACTGGACAGATATACTTTTAAATAAATTAAATAATTAACCATGTCATTTATATGTTATATATGATTAAACAGGTAATAATGGGTTGTAGGGATCCAAAGAGGGCCGGGAATGCAGTCGACTATATAAAGACTAACAACAAGAATGCGGTCTTAAGTGTCATTCAATTGGATTTATCTTCACTCGAATCGGTCCGAGATTTCGCTAAAAAGGTGTCACAAAAGGAGACAAACATTGATATCCTTATAAACAACGCGGGAATCGCTGGAACTCCTGAATCTCAGACCAAAGAGGGCTTTGAAATGCACTTCGGAACCAATCATTTGGGTATTCATATTGTGACCAATATATCAATATTGATATTAACTGTAATTTATGCCATAATTTTAGGTCACTTTTTACTAACTCTATTACTGTTACCCCTACTGAAGAGCGCCCCCAAAGCCCGAGTAGTATCGGTGTCATCGGGTTTATATAGCGTCGGCAAAATACATTTCGATAATATAAACCTAAGGGACGGCGCCTACACTCCTATGAAGGCCTACGCTCAGAGCAAATTAGCAAATGTGTTGTTCACTAGAGAGTTGGCCAAACGGTTAGGTCATAACAGTACAATCAGTGCATATAGTTTGCATCCAGGTGTCATTAAGACAGATCTTGTCAAAACTGATAAACTGTATGAGAGATTCGTGGTTAATATACTGAGTTCCCTACTGTTCCTCACACCACATATGGGCGCTCAGACATCATTGTATTGTGCACTGGAGGACAGCATAGAAAATGAGACTGGATCCTATTATGAGTAATATATAGTTTGTTACTATTTTTCTGGAAAATGTTAATATAATTGATATTTATTTGGACAGAAACTGCAAGAAAGTTGATTTAAAAGCGATTGCAATGGACGACAAAACCGCTGAAAAACTTTGGGAATTAAGCACTGATTTCGTGAATCTGGAGGAACACCTAAATCTACCGCATGTCAAACAACAGGCCTGGGAACAGGTTCACCTATAATCAATACATGTAATCCAATTAATTACAGGTGTAGGTTTTTACTTTTGGATGTGAAAGTCTGCCAACAGTACAGTGGCACTGACCAGGACTTCCATCCACTCATAGTAACCGTCGCCATACTTATCTCACTTCTGTACTCACTTTCCGTAATCAATAAATCTGATTAAACCTCAAATGATATGCGCAGGGTACTTTGTTACATCCAGGGAACTTGTATGTCTTGAGAACAAAATGTATAGAGTTAGATCCAGGCTAAATTACCTGCAATATTTAAATACAAATCCTGGAACTAATCGAAACACTGGAAATACAGGTGCTAATCAGAATACAGGTTCTAATTATCAAAATACTGTTAATAACCAAAATTCAAAGTATACTCAAAATGCTAACAATAATAATAATGCTAATCAGAATTCAGGGTACAATCAAAATAGTGTTCCCACAGCTAATCAGAATGCAGGCTTTACTATGAATTATGGAAATACTAATCAGAACCTGGCTAATAACCAGAATTCAAAATATTACACAAATAATAAATACCGAAACCGATATTCTGGTTAAATAATACTGTATACTTTATCATATTAGTGGTGATAAATCTTAATTGTAAATTAAAATAAAAGGTCAATTAAATATCAAACATTACAATTTGTTTATGTCATAATTATTTTTTAATTAAAAAATATTTAATTTGAATTGAATTATTATTAATATCATGTATAAACACAAAATAATTATAAAGGGTTACATAAACAGTGAGATTTATACGAAAATGCACTTTTTGTACTTTTTGTATTTAGTGCAAAAACTACAAATATATTTCTATTAATGACTACTAATGTATCAATGCATTAAATGCATTGAAGGTTGTATGTATTGTACTGTCAGTATAAAATATTATTATATAGTACAGTATTACATAGAATCATAGATGCATTCTAAAGTATGTATGTATAAATATAATTTATATATATATATATTGTATAACATTCATAGATTGCACCTATGCATTCTACGTAATACTGTATAATTCTATATATTATATATTGTACTAATGTTCAAAACTTAATAGTAAGATGAAAAGTAATTTGAATACAGAATTTATAAAAAGCATAAAATGAGAAATGTTTTCAAATGAGCTTATTTGCCTCAATGGAACAATTTATTTTACTTCATAATCTATATTGATGCTTTTATAAGTTGTGAATGAATATCATAATTCTTAAATATCTGAACTAACTTTATGTGAAAATAGAAATTATATTTGTGTTCAAATATAATATTTAAAGTGTATTTATCTGTAAAATAATGGGTTTCATATGGGATAGTGTGAAAGAGATAACTGGAAATGTGTTACATTTAAGAACTAAATTTGTAACAAATAAAAGACTTGATGGACAGGTAGTGGTGATCACTGGTGCCAACTCTGGTATCGGCAGAGAAACGTCTCTTCAACTATCATTACTGGGCGCTAAGGTATGTATTTGTCATTCAAAATATTTATTTTCATATTTTAGGTTCATTTTATTTGAATATACGCTAAGCTTATATACTTATAACTAAAGTATTAAATTATAAATATACTTTTAAATAAATTAAATAATTAACCATGTCATTTATATGTTATATATGATTAAACAGGTAATAATGGGTTGTAGGGACCCAAAGAGGGCCGGGAATGCAGTCGACTATATAAAGATTAACAACAAGAATGCGGTCTTAAGTGTCATTCAATTGGATTTATCTTCACTCGAATCGGTCCGAGATTTCGCTAAAAAGGTGTCACAAAAGGAGACAAACATTGATATCCTTATAAACAACGCGGGAATCGCTGGAACTCCTGAATCTCAGACGAAAGAGGGCTTTGAAATGCAGTTCGGAACCAATCATTTGGGTATTCATATTGTATTTATACCTTGTATACCTTGTGTACCTTGGTACATTGTGTCCAATATATGAATATGAATATTAACTGTAATTTATGCCATAATTTTAGGTCACTTTTTACTAACTCTATTACTGTTACCCCTACTGAAGAGCGCCCCCAAAGCCCGAGTAGTATCGGTGTCATCGGGTTTATATAAGGTCGGCAAAATACATTTCGATAATATAAACCTAAGGGACGGCGCCTACGCTCCTATGAAGGCCTACAATCAGAGCAAATTGGCAAATGTGTTGTTCACTAGAGAGTTGGCCAAAAGGTTAGGTCCTAACAGTACAATCAGTGCATATAGTTTGCATCCAGGTGTCATTAAGACAGATCTTGCCAAAACTGATAAACTGTATGAGAGATTCCTGCTTAATATACTGAGTTCCCTACTGTTCCTCACACCACATATGGGCGCTCAGACATCATTGTATTGTGCACTGGAGGACAGCATAGAAAATGAGACTGGATTTTATTATGAGTAATATATAGTTTGTTACTATTTTTGAGAAAAATGTTAATATAATTGATGCTTATTTGGACAGAAACTGCGCGAAAGTTGATTTAAAAGCGATTGCAATGGACGACAAAAGCGCTGAAAAACTTTGGGAATTAAGCACTGATTTCGTGAATCTGGAGGAACACCTAAATCTACCGCATGTCAAACAACAGGCCTGGGAACAGGTTCACCTATGATCAATACATATACCGTCGCCATACTTATCTCACTTCTGTATACACTTTCCGTAATCAATAAATCTGATTAAACCTCAACCGGTGTTGTCATTCATATGGTCTACAGTTTAGACCTTAAACCCCACACAACCTCTAAAATTACGATTTTTTAAATTTCAAAATATGTTATTCAAAACAAAGCCTTAACTTAAATATATTTTGGTTACAATTCATATAATCATTCATATAATCTATTATTATAATAGAAATTAATTCATTTGCATCAGATTTAACTTGTATGCCAACTAGTACCCTGGTGTATTATAGACTAGACCTCCGTCTATGAATAGATTGGCGGCTGTTATGAATTGAGCGTCACTTGAGGCCAAAAACACGACACCTTTGGCCACATCCAGGGGCTGACCGATCCTCTTGAGCGGTGTTCTGGCGATGAGTTCCTTACGGAGAGCGTCGACAATAACCGGAGGCAACGATCCCGTTATGTTCGTCTCAACCATTCCTGGACTTCACCATTCATTACATGACATTAAAACCATTTAAATGTCTTAAAAGTCTAAAACCTATCATTACTTAATAGTATTGATTCTAATCCTTGGCCCCAATTCCAGTGCCAATGCCTTAGTCATCATATCTACACCCGTTTTGGACACTTCGTACGCCATGTTTGCGATGTACTGATCATTAAATAAGAGTTTTGTCAATAAATTATTTACAAATCATTTCATTAGATTACGGGATGTGTTGACGCGATACTCGATATACTAATGATAGTGCCGTTGGTTTCATCCAAATAAGGGACAGACAGATAGCATAACTCCACATAAGCCCTGAGATTCACTTGAATGGTCTGATCGAAGACTTTCATAAAAGCCTTATCTCTGACACCAGCTGTCGGTCCGATACCGGCGTTGTTCACCAATACATCCAATTTGCCAAATGTTTTGATGGTTTCACTCAATAGTCTATTCAAGTCATCACTTTTGGTCACATCCGCCACCACTTCCAATGGCTTTTTAAAGACATTTGATATTTGTTTTAAAATTTAATAAAATTATTTTAATGATTATAAAGACCTTTAGTTTATTTGGTGACAATTCTTGACATTCTTCGGCAACTCTTGTAATTTCAGTGGCATTCCTACCGGTGACCACAACACTGGCACCCAATACAGAGAATAGTTTGACAATACCCTCCCCTATGCCAGAACTGGAACCGGTAGTCAACACTACTTTTCCCGTAAAATTACGTGAATTTTGTACATCACTATAGTCTTCGTTACTTAAATCATAATAAATATTGGCTTTAATTAATGATACGTTAAGTAAAACTATGAACAATAATAAATTCATGATAGAATGGGAAATATTTTAGAAGTTGTATTAATTATTATTAATTATAAACAAGGCAATAAAAAATAAGTTATACCAGAATATAAATTGAATATTATTTATCTTTATACTGATCTAAAATATGAAGTGCATGTATGGTACATAAGTGGAGATTAAATTTGATATCCAATTGGATTTATGGGAAAATAACATTCAGTAACAATCATGAGATTTTTGCTTGGTGTTATTTTCCCATAAATCCAATTGGATATATTTAATCTCTTCTTGTAAAATATACACATCAACTGCTGAATACAAATAATACTGACCTAATATTATGTTTAATATAGTAAACCTGACCAAATCTCAAAATGGCCAAAAAGTAGCCTATATTTTTGCGCCTACAGTATGAATTATATCGCCTTAATGTATGCAACACTGTGAAGCAGTAAATAATTTTTAAATATATAAATACT